AATATAGTACACCTTCAAAAAATCATTCTACGTTGTGTCGGTTTTTGCTTTTGTATTCTTCATTTTATATCTAAAGCCGATTAGATCACTATTTTACCAGCTTATACCAGCAGGATCATCGTTCCGGTTGCTTGCTTAAACATTTTATAGATTTCACCAAGCCCAGAAGTGGAGATCTGAGTTTTGTAACTTTGCAGTGAGGTTTTCTGTATAATGTTTGGAGTTTGAATAATCTCAAACTACACAAAACATAAAGCAGTGAAAAACATTTGTATACAAAAAAAATTTATACTTTAGTTAACTTTTTATCCTGGGTTAGCATTAACCGGCTTCCGAACAACTATTTACAAAAAATTAACCAAATAAGGGCGCGATCCAACCGAAATCTAACACTTGGTCAGCGGTCAATTAAAAAAAAACACGTGACCTCGACGAGCTCTAAATTTGAGCCGCGATATAGTTACGTAAGACTGGTCGGCAGATACCTTGTTTTGACAGTTCTCAATTGACCATAACATGGATGTCCAACAAACAAGTACGCTATAAACCANGATATAGTTACGTAATACTGGTCAGCGGATACCTTGTTTTGACAGTTCTCAATTGACCATAACATGGATGTCCAACAAACAAGTACGCTATAAACCAGGGCTGCATGTCTGTCTACCTATTAACTGGAGTATGGCCGCCATCTTGCGCGTCTCCGCCGTCGTCGTCGTCGTACGTACGCGCCCACGAGCAATACCGCTAGCCATGATAACCATGAGAAAATTAATGCACGGGTTTCCTTCACTTTCCTATATGGGTATGGTGCTCCGCTATAAAACCATACAACCCGTTTATTATGGTCAACATGGCTTGCGGCATGGATCACCGATGACGAAAAACAACGACGTCGCTCAAGGTGGTGGCCATACTCCAGCTGCAGCCTTAGATTACAAGATATCCATGTTATGTTCAATTGGGAGCTGTCTAAACAAGGTATCCGCTGACTAATATTGCGCGGCTCAGGTTTAGAGCTCATCGAGGTCATGTGTTGTCAGTACTTCATACAGAGCGCGCAGCGGTGGAACAATTGGTTAGAGCTTTGAACAACATGGTGCCGATAACAATATGTTCCACAGTTTGACTCTGTTTGCTTCATTGTGATTTGATGACGACTCCTCGAGGGTAAAACATTTAATGTGCCTTCAAAAAGTTCAGCCTAACTAAGGATTACGAGTTAAACTCCGGTCAAAATATGAGTAATTATGACGACAACCCTTAGGGTCTAAGAAAATATACAGAGCAAAACAGAATGAAACGCGATCCACCACTGACACCTTGGTATATAGGAGACACTTTGAACCCGTTTAAGCTTTGATCATTGAAGGAAGTGAAGTTAAACACAGCCCTTCATTCTTGAGTTTTAAACTTCATAATTTGCGTGTTTACGTGTGCAGTAAATGTTTGATTTCGTTCCGAGGCTCATTAACTGAGGGCAAAATTTTTTTAGGGTTTAAAGCCTCTAATTTCGTAGAAAATGTCATGTAACCATGGAAACATGGTTTACAAGAGATTTTGAGGAAGGATCGATACCGACTAAGCGGAGTGCGATTAAACATTTCTTTAATATGACTTGCGTTTGTAGCCGATGAGACGTGCGCTCTGATCGGCTAATACTAGGGCATTATAATTATTCTCCCGTAATGCCCACGGGCCGATTACGGGCCTGCAAAATCCAAGCAAAAAGCCATATAATAAACAACTTATTAACCTCGAACGTTCGGTCTTTACGGGAAAATCTCAAACCTCGGCCTTGCCGTGTTGACAACGCTATCGCTCGGTCAATACGGCAAAGTCCCGGTCTGAGATTTTCCCTAAAGACCTCACTCTCGGAAATAAGCAGTTAGTATCAGAACTGATTAGTGAGGACAATCAGAGTATCTTTATTATTCACTGAGGGTGAGAGTAACAAGAGAGTTGAAGACAAACGACACGTGAGCTATAACAAAGTTGCTATTTTTTACTAGGTCTAAAATTTTCAGTAGCATTTTTCATAGAATTAACCAATATAAAGATTGCGTTCGAAGCCAAAAATTGAAGTGTTAGAAAAATAGAAATACTAACTATCAAATATCGAAAATACCTCTACCTTTTTTATATAAATCTTTTGAATAACATTATCCTACCCGCCTCCTACAATGTTTTAATGATTAGTAAAAGTAATATTTCCAGCATGAATGAGCATGTTACATCTGCCTAATGTACTTTGGGTGACACTCGTGCGAGTGACGTCTTCTCTTCGACGTCTTGTTATGTACTGAGTATAGCATTCCTTTTTATATCAGAAACAGGTAATTTAGCCATACAATGATTCTCTGGGATTTTCTAACTTTTACAACACTTAAGACAGCTCGTCGGTCAAAGTTTGGATAATGCGCTTCACTGGACAAAGCATTATGTAGTGCTGGGATAGCAAAGTTAGTGTCGTCAACATTTCTCCACTGGATAGTGATTTACCCGTTGGATAGCATTATCCACACTAGGACAGGGTGCCGTTTACGCACAATATCGAGCCTTGTGCCCAGGAATTAGCAGAGGGTTACCATGCTAGATCGGATAGGAAATAAAAAGCAAAAAAACTAGTGAAAAAGCTATACAAGTTACCTACGAATTAACCAATCGATTTGACAGGTGCTATTTAACTCAGTTTGGAATCAAATGAAACTGGGCAACACTATATTTCTGTCAAAAAGGTATGAAAGTGTCCTGTGAATATCGTTCATGATCCTTCGTCAATCGTTCTACGTCACCACGTCAAAATTAACATAGTCCTTGTCATCATAAACTTCCAAATTCACATATGTCTGCAAATCAAATAATAGATAAATAAAGAGATTAGATCTTCGACCTTTATGTGTCCCTGCTGATCAGTGTAACGGC